TGGTCTTCCCTTCTCTCTCATTGCTTGTGGTTTTGCTTTGTAATGTGTGTATTATGGAGTTATTGAGCCATTTCAAGTATAACTAAGTTCTGACATTCAGGTTTAACCATGGGAACACATGGTGACTTCAAACATATAACTAAGGCAACTCATCTTGATTTCTACACTACCAGAGCTTATAGCAGATGATGTACTTCAGAGCCAGTTTATTTAGAGCCAACCCATAACAAATTTAAGCAACACCTTCCTATATCCATGAGTATAGTTTGCAGATAATACAGTAAAATTTTCTCTCCAAGTTCAGATGTCTTTAATTTCTGGATTAATTTCCAACATAGGAGGGCTATGGCCGCCAAAGAAGGGGAATGATATAATCAGAACTGATGAATATATCTAATATTTATATATTACATATACAGCAGGCTCTGTGAGACTGCTGTCCTCTGTTCATGTCATCTCTGCTGCTAAGACTAAGGCTGCCTGTAAGTGATGCTTCACACCACATGCTGATTTTGACTTGTCTTGGGACATAAGTATTCCCATAGTCTCATCCAATCGGGCTTTACCATTACCAAGATCGTCCTTAAGGGCAGGCTTGGAGGCCACCATCGACCTTCTCTTTCTCTATAATCAGTTACCAATCACCTCCTGCAGCTGCCGAACTTCTCTGAATGCAACACTTGCTGATGTAGGGTTCCCATATGTTTGCACTTCCCTGCTTTATTTTGAATTTGCTACTTTGGAAGACATGCACAATCAGTGAATAACTCTTGGGTATTTATCATGCCCCAAATCAATATTATATTCACACAGAAATTGTAACACAGGCTGTCTTAGTTAGGGTTTCTATTGCTGAAGAGACACCATGACCACAGCAACTCTTTTTTTTGTTTTTTGCATATGCCAGTTTTATTCACAATGTCCAAATGCAGAGGCAACACTTTTAGTAGGTGGATGGATGACTGGATAAAGAGACATAGCCAGGCAATAGTAACTAAAGGGAGATGAGTTATCCAGACACACAGAACCCCAGATGAAGCTGATCTGGAAGGGTTCTGAACTCTTATAAAGGAAAACATTTAATTGAGGTGGCAGTTTACAGTTCAGAGGTTCAGTCCATTATCATCATGGTAGAACATGGCTGCATGCAGGCAGACATGGTGCTAGAGAAGGTGCTGAGAGCTCTACATTTGGGCCCCACAAGAAGCAGAAAGAGACAGGGAGCCACTAGGCCTGATTTGTGCTTCTGAAACCTCAAAGGCCCCCAACTCCTGAGTGACACACTTCCTCCAACAAGACCACACCTACTCCAAAAGGCTACATCTCCAATAGAGTCTTTTTATCTCCAATAGAGGCTTTATCTCCTTCTGAGTCTATGGGGGCCATTGTCATACAAACTCCCACACATGCATTTGTAATCCTAAAGGACATACTAGCCCAAACCCAGAAATGACTGAAAACAGATAGATGTTTGCTTAAATTGGAGAAATTTTTTTCTCACAATACTCCACTTTAATAAATGATGGAAATGATGGAATAAAATGATGGCAATAATTAGAAAAGTAAAGGGATACATGCTTAGTAGATAATGTTCAAATCAGAACCTCACCTATGATTATGTTGATAAATTGATTAGCATATTAAAAATTCTAGGTATAGGGAAGACATTAGATGAAGAAGCTTAAGGTGGGGGAAATGTGGGTGTGTCTATAGAGTGAATTATCAAAAAGCTTTATTTCCATTGTACAGTTTTTCTATGAAAGGAAATTTGATTAAGTTGCATAATACCCTTTCCCAGACACACACACACACACACACACACACGTCAGCTGTGTGTATGTCTGTCTTACCATGAGCAGAGACATGTGAAAGAAGAGTGTGTGGGTTCTCCCTGCAAAGGCTTTAATATTTGTATTTATTTATTAATTTTCTGTGCCTGTGTGTGCCTTCATAAGTTAATATGTACCATGTGTACACAAAAGCATTTGGAGGTCAAGAGGGCATTGGGCCCCCTGGAATTGGAGGTTGTTGTGAGTAGTGAGTAGTGACGTGGGTGCTGGGGAACAAACTCGGATTCTCTGCAAGAGCAGTCAGTTCTGCCACCATAATAGACTCATCGCCCTGTAAAAGGTTGTACACAACTTCCTAAAAATCTCTATTTTAAATACTATACAAGTTCAACCTAGACTCCACACCTCTCCCAAAAGTAATTAAAAAAAAAAAAACAAAACAGAAAAGAAGACAAGAAGAGCAACAAAGAGATATCATAAATTGTAATACATAGTTAATAGATTTAAAATATAGAAAACCTAGTATAGTCTACAGCAAGATTGACCCTGCTTGGACACCCTTGGGGGGGGGGAGAAGATGCAGTACCAAGGACTCCACTCAGGCACTGGGAGTCAGTGATTAGCAGAGCTTGCTGCAGACTTGTTTGTTTATTGAAGAAGTTAGGAAGATACCCCCTCCCAAGGTCGCATTGGCTCAGGCAGCTGACTCTGCTGCATTGTCATTTTCTCATTGGTGTCTCTGGTCAGGTGTCTCTATGTCAGCAGTCTCTGGGTGTGGAGGCTGGCTTGGCTCAGGGAGGAAGTGCCTGCCATGCATGGCCTGGGCACCTGGGCAAGGCAACTGTGGCTTGGGTAGGCTGGCTGGCAGTTTCCCCTACACAAGATGTTAATGTGACTTTCAACCATATGGAGCCATAATAAATTTGTGCTACACAGTTGACATTTCTCTATATTCTTGCATAGCTATGCTTACACAACATTTATTCACAACACTTTCTCCATGTATTTCTGTCAGACTGTCCCATCCACTCTCTCCAAGTTGTTTTTTTAAAGCATTCCTAAAGAGTCTACTAACTTTTAGAAGACCTCACTTAATTTAATGACTGTTGTTGCTTAAATCCCACACTCCTTTGTTCTAACTCCTCCCCAGCTCATCTGCAGACCTCACCTCAGACTCAGAAAGGATTTTGAACATCTTTGCTGTCTATGAAGAAGTACTGAGGGCTGTTGGCAGAGCCAGCCCTGTCAGGAAAGTTTTGCCAGGTCTATAAGCCCTGTTTTCTCTTTGAGGTGGTCTTGGTTCTGAGGTTCAAGTACACCTTTGGTCATCTCAAAGAAACACGAAGTTTTATTCACCCTTTTATAAATATGGCGACTACCTATGAAATTGGTTATATCTATATAACAAAGAAAACCTTCTTGAATATGTACTTAATAAATATTGAAAGAAACACAGTTTTATTAAGAAGGGGAGGATAAATGGGAGACTTATTTGGCTTTTTCCTGAAAAAGTTATTTTCAAAGATAAAAATAAGTATCTTTTACGGTTTTCCTCTCATGGGTTGACAACTGTGATCTGACTATGCACAGTTCTTCTAAATGGACTTACCACTTCCAGTCTTGACGACTGGTCTCATGTCCAGATTATTACAGATTAGGTTTTGAGATACAATGCAGTGTTAGTAAAACCCTTGGTAAAGTCATTTACCAATTCAGTTATGCCTCAGCATAAATACGGCACCCTTTCTCTAGCTACAATTGTGATAAAGCTTGAGAGGGACCTTAGCAGATTCCATGGCAGGCAAGGGTGACGGAGACCGAGGGACAAACATGCCAGGCAGACAGAGCTCAGTGAGTTTTATTAGAAGGGTGTGTGTGTGTGGGGGAGAGGCAAAGAGAGACAGAGACAGAGAGAGGACAGAAGAGAAGAGGGAGACAGGAAAAGTCCTGTCTGCCGCAGGAGGACACTAGAAAGAGAGGAGCAGGAAAGAGAAGAGGGCAGAAAGAGAGGAGCAGGAAAAAAAAAAAAAGCGCACAGAGGGCATTCTTTTAGAGGGGTCCTTTGCACCAGGGCTGACCAGGGTACTGCCTGAGTGCATTCTGCCAGGTGACAGGGCAGGCCCCATAATGCCTGAATCGTTACAGCTACTGTCGAGCAATGTAGGGAAAAAAAAAAAAAAGGAGCCATCTCCATGCAGTGACAAAAACTTTGTCTGTCTTACAGACACACTTAGGATTTCTAGGCGTGGCATCTCTTCTACACAGGTGCCTTCCTTATTTGTACCTGACTCAGACACAAATATAGTATCAATCATATATAACATTCCATGCCTGTTGCTTCTTGGCCTTCAAAAAGTTAAGATTGAATTAATATTAAATTTTTACTGCTTACAGTCAGATCCCTGATGTGTGTCCACGTTAATCAGGTTAAATAATAAAAATGGGTTTCTGTTTGAGTTACCTTGTTAACCCCCATAGAATATGATAAAACCATAAATTATTAGCACTGATCATAACTTTCATGACTTATTTTAAATTTCAAAAATGTGTGAAGGTACCAGCCAGGAAGTCACGCAATTTAGGAACAACCAAATATAACCCCTTATATATTATTTACTGTCAATGATTAGACAATATGGCCTTATGCAATGCTGAAATATTAAAATAAATAACATCTATAACACGAACCAGAATAAATTCCTCTGTAAACAGAGAGGCTCAGATTATCCTGTGATTAATATTTAGCCACTACAGATACTTCTTAAGATGTTTAGATGTTTACTAAGCATTAATGAAAAAAACTTAAATTTTTATTATTTTGTTTCTTTTACAAAATGGGAAAGGTATTCATTCATTTTACTTTACATGTAAATATTGTATGTAAAAACATGCAAGCCAAAGCCTGCTCAGAAAAAAAAGTAAATAACTGCTACTATGTGGTTGGAGACATTGCTCATGCTTTAGGAGGGTGCCCCAGCTCCTCCTGAAGCTCCCCACTTATGTGGGGTGGCTCCAAGGCATCCTCTGACCTCTGCAGGGAGAATGCTGACTCCTCAGAGCTCTGGTCCCTGATGCACAGAGCTTCATTGTGGGACTTCCGGTTCGTGCTGGGCTCTGCCTTTCCTGCTTCCCAAGAGCCCAGGTTAGGGGCCACGAGCTGCTACCGTTTGCACCAACTGCCATCACTGTGGCAATGCCAGCGGCCACACCATGCTGCCTTTTTTCCTGGTCCTCTCCTGCCTGTGCCAACTGATCATTGCAGGCCAGGGTAAGTGAAGATGCTCTGGGCAAGGGACCACCTGTCCACAGGCCACCTGCCATTCTGGCTTCAAGAGTTGCTCTCGGGAGGTGCAGAACAAGGGCTAATGAAGGTGCCCAGAGCCCACCCAGTTCCAGGGTCCAGGGGCCCATCTTTGCCTGGTGGTTGGAAGATTCAGCCCAAAGACCGTTGACCCTCATTTGCTGACTTTCTACAATGAGGAGGACATCTGCAAAGTGGGAGGAGAGGGAGATGGAGAGGGAGCAGGATAGACAGAGCCCTGCAAGTCCCCAGTGTTTTCTTCTTGGCTAGAGGAGAGCTCAGCCAAGGCAGGGTATTTACTGCTGCGCTGGGGAATACTAACTGTGTCCCTCTCGGCAGAGTCTGAAACACCACTTCTGCAGACCACAGTGCCACAGAAAATCGAGAGCAACATCAAGGATGCCAAGGCAGCAGAAGCGCAGGTAATTAAGAAACCGGATTTGTGAAAAATGATGGGTGTTTATTTGCACTCCACTTCTGGCCCACAGCAGTGAATTCCTACATGGCCTCTTTGAAATTCTGTTCATGACTAATTTAGGAAGGTAAGACTCATGGTCTGAGGGAGAGCAAAATGTCTCAGTTTTCTTTCATTTTCCAAGTAGTGTAATAACATTGCACAACTGTTTTATGAGAGACTTAAGCGCTCTAGCTTTCAGTAACACTACTATAACAAACACACTAATTATATATCCTTATGCATGAGACTGCACTAAATTTCACCTTGTTTAATGGTTTTTAAACTGACTACATTAAAATCTCCAGGCCTATAAATGTAAATCTCTTGAAAAACAAAACAGTGAAGTATAAAATCATAACATTGTCGGAGGTGTTTAAAATGAGCGTCCACATGAGTCTGAAGTGCTAATTTTAACCAATTGAATATTTAATCCCATACATTTTTTGACGGTATGTGCCAATGCTGTTTTTCCACCTCTCCATTGCTACCTCATATGTGAGCATTTTCTCAGAACCATTGACACAGGACTGATGCAGAAGCAAATAAAAATTTTTGGCAAAGTAGACGAGAATTTTTTCAGTTCTTTCCAGGCACACAATTGTTTCCTATGAAGTTCATCATCATCATCATCATCATTCCACATTGACTTCAAACCTTATAAAAGTCTTTCGGCTTTTGCTTTTCTAAAACAGCTATTTCAATTTAATATATAATATGAGTGTCATCTTGCCTAGTTTTACAGCCAGCCTCTTGGGATTTGACAGTAGATAATATTCAGTCTACAAGTCAATAATATTTCACATTCCAAGACATGAACTTAGCATTTTAAATGGTATTTTTACTCTTTTAAGGTTTCATAAATATATATGATACATCGTGATCATAGCCAACACCACACCCCTTCCCTCTCAGCTCCCTGTGGTCCAAACCTTAATGTCCTTTCTTTAAGTGCTTAAATTGATTGTCAAACAAGATTTATGTATATTTTCTCTGTGTATGATGCATGTGTGTCCTTTGCACCTGTCTGTGGGTTTCATGATAAAATCTCTCCATATCATCTTATTCTCTCAGGCTATAGTAACTGGAATTATAAAATTTCCTTTCCAATTGTTTGTTATCCAGTTTATAGGAATAAAAATGTCCCCTGTATAGTTAATTGAATATATCAATCTTGCAAATAATGGCGGTGACCATTTACAATGTGGGTACATTTTATGGCTTTTTTTTTGTGTCTGTGGTTCTGGTGTTTATTTGTTGTAGAAGACATTTGTATTTTATTTGTTACCCCTTTAGGTTCAATGATGACAGGAGTTGATATTTTTAATAATGACTTTCTCTCTCTCTCTGCACAATTTGCCACAGGTCTCTTACTTGGTCAGAATTGAGGGCAAAGCATACACGTTCCATCTTGAAAAACAGTAAGTGCTCACCCTACCACAGAGCTGTTTCTAGTTGACCTTCTTCAACCATTCATCAAGCTGAGCGTAAATACCCCATTTACTTGCTTTATCTTCTTTAATATTCATGTGGAACTGAGACTTTAAATTCAATAATCTAAGTTCTAACTTAATGATGTCTTAAGCACATGAGATGAATGAAAATTGCCAAAGTCCGTAAAGCATGCAGTCATGCAAGCTATAGTTGTTACCTGCCCATGTGTAACTTTGCACCCGCATACGTTGTTTTGCATAGTTATGGGTTTTCAAGCATCTTACTTAGTACACTACACATGCCTGAGAAAAATGGAGACCAACCAGAAACATATCACTGCCTAGGAAACCAGGTAGACCTTGTAAACACTAAAGTGCAGCTTAAATTGCAAACAGGCAGAACTTGCCTAGGTCATTTATTAAAGAGAATGAAAACTTGACTTATCAAAAACAGTGAGCAGACATCAATTGTGTGGTCGTAGACTTCACAGGGGTAAAGCAGAATGCACCCTACAGCTGTAGCTATTGAAGCACTGCATTCTCACTGTCCATGCCCCTTGCTTCTCCAGGAGCAGCTCCCTTCCAGGCCCAGCTCCCTTCCCTAGCTGCTGCTCCAGCACCAGCTCTGCCCCCTGCCCTCCTCTACCTTATGTTCCCTGCTCATATGCTGTTGTTTCTTGATGACAGACTGCATTTCTGTTATGCTCAAATGGTTTTGCCAACCCACCACTGCGTCTCTGCCATTTTGCTCCAATGTATATTCTTGACTTCCCCCTTTCTCCCTTTTTCCTTTGAGGAATCCAGTGGCATCAACATTGGATAAAACCTTCTATCACTCTTTATATTTTGTCTCTATTTAAAAGTTACAAAAATTCATAAAAAGGTTACACACACACACACACACACACACACACACACACACACACACATCCATTGTTTTGAAATGGTCTGTTCTTTTGTGATAGAATGCAGGGTGCAAATTCTCAGTGTGGGTATATATCTTACATTATTCAGTATAAAATTTCATAGTGTAGAGTGTAATATGTAATAAGGGTCCTTTACAGAGATTGTCTGTATGCATTCTGAAAATGACATTAGCAATTAGAATCTGTCCATGCTCAAATAGGCATTTTGTCTGAGGCACATGGACGATGAAAGTGGAGTCTCATTTTTGCTCTCTTTACTACATCTGACTTTGTATCCCATCCCACCATTGTAATCTACTTTGATAGGCTCCTCTGTAATCTGTTTCCAAAGTCCAAAGTGGTAATCATACATTTAAATAGATGTAAATTAGTATATTTTTGATTAAGAGCATTTAAGCCACATTTGTCACAATATAGGTGACAGTGATGTTCTTCTCTTCACTCTTCTTTGAAGCTTTGGAACTGATACCAAGAGATGTGTATCTTCCCCTCCAGAGCTTCTCAGCCCCCACCCTGTATCTGAGTTTACTCCTGTCCCACTGGGCAAAATTGGGAGAAGGCGCCATAACCTATGTGGTAGTAAGCTATCTGTGATTAACACGAAAATTCGATATTTGTCAATTTAAAAAATGTTTAGTGATAGATTTGGATGTTTACATGTACTGTTATTGGGTCTGTGGTTAGGACGCAATGGCAGTAAGTCCTTGGCACTTACCTCCTATCTGGGAAGTCGGAGAGAGATTGATGAAAAGACAAGGTCCCAAGATTCTCTTCAGGGACACAGGCTGCCAGTCATCTAGAACAGTGCATGCAGGTCTGCCTTGGTTGGTTATGGTCAACGTGATGCAAACCCATGTGTACCTGGGACTAGAGAATCTGAACTGGGGTTTACACCCCTCAGATTGCTGGCTGATGTCTGAGGGCCCAGCCCACCGGGTGGTACCACTCATTGGCAAAGCCATCCTGTGCTGCATAAGAAAGTCTGCTGGATGAGCCAGGGAGAGCAAACCTGAAAGTACATTCTTCTATGCTCTCCACTTCAGTGACTGCCTCCATGTTCCTGCTTTATTTCCTGCCCTGACATTCATTAATGATAGACAGTGATGTGGAAATACAGGCCAAATAAACTCTTTTATCCTCCAGTGGGCTTTGATCAGTGTTTTATCAAAGCAACAAAAACAACAGCAACAACAGAAAACAAACTAGGAAAAGGCCCCACTCTCAGTAGGCTAGCTACCATATTCCAGTAGCTCTAGGGACAGAAGGCTGGGCATAAGCACATGGTCTCTGGGGAGCACTGCTGATGCAAACAACCTGGTTAATGCTTCTAGAGTTGTTTCAATGTTTTTTTATTCAGCCTGGAGCCTACAAATTAAGTTGCTTATATGTGACACTGATACTTAGTTTGGCCAAAGAGAAGTTGTGTCTGTTTTTATGCCAGTGCCATACCGTTTTCATTACTATAGCTCTGTGGTGTCACTTAAAGTCTGGGATGTTGTTACCTCCAGCAGGGTTTTGTCTGTTGGACTTTTTAATTGTTCAGGATTGTTTTGGCTATCCTGGGTCTTTTGTCTTTCCATATAAAATTTAAGATTGTGTTTTTCAATTTCTGTGAAAAATTGTGTTGGAATTTTAAGGGAGATTATATTGAACCTGTAAATTTCTTTTGGTATGGTGATCATTTTTAGTATATTAATCCTACCAACCCATGAGCATGAGAGGTCTTTCTATTTTCTGATATTGTTTTCCATATTTTGTCAATGTCTTAATTTCCCATTGTACAAGTCTTTCTCTCCTTTGTTTAGATTTATTCACAGATTTTTTTGAGGCTACTGTTAATGGTCTTGCTTCTCTGATTAATTCTTGGTGCCATTTGTTTATAGGAAGGGTGTGTGTGTGTGTGTGTGTGTGTGTGTGTGTACATGTGTTTGTTTTGTATCCTGCTAAATGTGACTCTGTTTACTAGCTATGGAGGTTTTCCAGTGGTACCCTTTGAGTCTTTTATTTATACAATTGTAGCATCTGAAAATAAAGCTACCTTTATGTCTTCCTTTCTAATTTGTAACCCTTCATCTCCTTCAGTAGTCTTACTGCTCTAGCTATGGATATAAGTACTGTATTGATCACTGATAGAGAGAGTGGGCATCCTTGTCTTATGTCTAATTTTTGGAAATGTTTTGTGTTTTTCTCCATTTAGCAAGATGTCAGCGGTGGACTTGCTGTAAATGGTCTTTATTGTACAGAGATGTGTCTCCTGTATCCCTAGAGTCCCCAGAACTTTTATCACAAAGAGAGGTTTTATTTAATCAAATTCCTTCCTATGTTTAATGAGATGGTTTAAATCTATTTATGTGGTGGTTTATGTCTCTTGATTGATGTTTGTTGAATCATCCTTTGATCTCTGATAAAAGCCAACTTGTTCATAATGGGTAATCTTTCTCTGTATTTTTGAATTGGGTTTCCACATATTTTACTGAGAAATTTTGCATCCAGTTTTATCAGAGAAAGGCCCATAATTTTCTTTTTGTGTTGGATCTTTCCATGTCAACTTTGGTATCAGGGTAATACTGATTTCATAAAAATAATTCAGAAACATTCCTTCACTTTCTATTTTGTGGAGTAGTTTGAGGAGTATTGCCATTAGTTCTTCTATGGAGGTCTGGAAGATTTCTGCACTGAATTCACCTGACTCCTGGGG